TCTTCATCTTCATATATGACTTCATTTGCATACTTGGCCCCAAGTTTGCTCACTCATGACATCTTTTGAGTCTCCAACTCTGCATTTATTTTGGCACGATGAAACTTCCCCCCTGTTCAAATGAGTCTCGAATGTAGAACTGCCTTGTTGGAGAGAAAGGAGGAAAATCCAAGAAGCAGGAAAAACCTTCTGTCTTGTTTTCAAAGCCAGAAAGCAATCAAGTTAACAACTCAGAAAGGTTGCTGACTTCAACATTGTATACCTGCATATCAGTTGATATTTGATTAGGGTGCACCACACATGACCAGAGAGCAATTAGGAAATACAGCAATACTTGTACGGTCCAGATTTCCCTATGCTTTTCAAAGCCAAGGACGGCTATAGATATAAATAAGAATGGGATGTTCTTTGTATTCAAAAGTCATTCCTTCTTTAATCAATTTCAACGTCCCTTTTTAATCAAGGTTGCATTACGCTAGGAAAAGGTCTGGTGTAATTCTGCATTTGGACTTGGTGGCATTGTTACTAAGTTGATACTAGCCGAAGATTCTCAAAGTCAAATCTTGATTACCCAAATTCATATCGCTTTCGAAGTTCAACTCTAGATTAAGGTCTCAAAAGAAACAACTGGCACACCACATGCAAGACAAAAAGATGTGATTTTAAATTGTTCAACGTTAATCCTTAAAATGAGGGCTGAAAAGGGTTGAATCAGGGGGGGGGGAGTGGAACATGTTGAATGTCTAATATTGAAATTTTCATCCTGCCAACAAAACCGTTCAAATGTTCTAAATGCAGAATACACTCACACCCATTCCTAATGCCTGCATGCGTGGACATGAAGACTTTAAAAGCACTCTGTTTACATAACAACCCACAACTAAGAGGCCTGACGGAGAATCAATATTTCTTTTTTTCGGATACACTGGCCTCCAACTATTCCAACTCTCCACTCGGCTACATCTAAAAAAAAAAAAAAGGGCTGAGCACATGACCCAGATTTTGTGTACACCTGCCCATCCTGTTTGCTCTGAGGGACCTAATTGTTTTTTGTGTAATTTAAACATTGCAGCAGAAGACATTTATGTGCTCAATGGCTTGTTCAAATTTACGACAGGGCCCTACAAAAATCAATGTTGAGGATATTAAACTGGGCACGTGGTTCTGCTTTTAGTTTCAGGCCTGAGTCGGAGTTAGGTGTGCGTTCTCATTCCTGTTTGGATTTCCTCATTTCAAATTGAATCACAACCATTTTAGAAACACCTAGCCTTTTGGTTTAACTTCATGTCTTTGGCCTTGGAACCACTTGTAGGACTTGGTTTGGTTCATTATTATCATCACGGTTTAAAAGCAAAAAAGCTAAATTTTACATTAAAAAAACATAAATACAATGAATTAGACTAAGACTTCAATCAGTGTTGTATTCGAGTCCATCACAAGTCCTTGCAAGTCCCTGTAAGTCCATCACAAGTCCTTGCAAGTCCCTGTAAGTCCATCACAAGTCATTCAGTCTTAAGCCAATTCACAAGCTAGTCAAATTAGCTGTGACAAAAGCACTCTTTTGCCATTGTTCACCATGTTCTGATGACTGGTCTTTTGAAGGGACTTGTGACCGGACTTGTGAAGGGACTTGTGACTGGACTTGCGAAGGGACTTGTGACTGGACTTGTAAAGGCACTTGTGACTGGACTTGTAAAAGGGCTTAAACCAACCAGCAAAACCCAAAACTTTGGTTTTGTAAGACTACTGTAAGACTCGATATATCCCTAAATCTATCCACAGACCTGTACCTATTCTGAGCAGGAAATACTAGAACCAGCAGCCTATAAAAACCAAGGAAATGATGCCAGCTACATTTTGTAAGCATTTCTGGAAACCGAAACCACTGAACTTTATTTTCATTGGCAGTGTGAGAGCAATGGTCCAGGAAGGTTCGAAACAAATTGCTTCAGAAGTGACGCCAAAAGAGCACAGCATGAATACAAGGAGGGTATTAACTGAGATGGTGTCCTCCGATATATTGGTCTCTTTTGGCAAAACCAAGTCATTATCAACAGAAAAGGAAAAAAACAATATTGGCAACTGCCACAAATTTCTGCAAATATGTCAGCTTTCATAATAATATATACACGCACATTTGTAATATGACTAACATCACCCAGAACTGACTTTCAGAAATATCGTTGGCTATCAGTTGTGGTCAACTGGCATTTCTTCACAGCGACAGCCCTAATACAAATTGGTAAGTGATGGTGTATTAAAAAGCAGATGGAGAAGACATACGCTGTTCTTACCCGGCACTCGGACGTTTCCGACAGTAGGATGGTTGAACTCTTGAATCATTTTGTTGTGGATGACCTGGGGGTCCTGGAAGACCTGCTGGAGGGACTGGACCGGACCAAAGGGGAGACAGGTCTCCTCGAATGCGGCCACCCAGTCGGATAGCTCCTTCTCTTGGAATCTGGGTATGGAAATAATCGTGAAATGGTGAAACGATCAGACACAAAACAACAAAACTGAGTCTGATTCATGTGTTGCAGGCCCGTCTTGCACAGTGCGGTTTGAATCAGCGGCCAGGGGAAACCACAGTGCTTGTATTCCCAGCAAGACATTTTACATCAATTCAAGAAATAGTTTCAATTAGAAACTTTCAAATTACAATTTTTTTTTCTTGGTTTGTAGTGAGAAAGATAATCTCACCCAAAACTAAGCTTATCTGCACAAGAAAACAGCCAAAAGAAATATACTTTTTCCTAGCATTCCAGACGAGCACTTTTGGAATTCCCATGTACTATATGTGCATAAGAAAGGCTGGTGCATTTTGGTTAACAAGGGAGCTCTGTCACAAATGTCACGCAGGGATCCAGACCGTAGACACTGACGCACTTTTATTCAAGTAAATGTAAACCTCACAGAGTTAAAGCTTCTTCCTAAAAAGAACCAAAAATGTCATTTTCATTGAAACAGGTCAGTAAATCAAAATGTACTTCTGTGTATGCCTTAACTTTTCACTAAACACTGCCCTCAATCAAGTATACTCAAACTACCTGGCAGAGAGTTTTGTTATCAAGGAGTCTCTATTGATGACCCGGAGTTCGTTGGATGTGTATCGCTCATCTGTAACAAGTTCTTCCATTTCTAAGACCTGAGGGAAAAAACGAAAAAATCCCAAAGATGAGCCACAAAAACACTTACAATTCGCAGAGCAAATTATTTTCACCTAAATCTGGTCTTCAAGACAGTTGTTTTGTCAAACTTTAAGGAATAAATATAATCCCAGACATTATACTTCAGTTACAGTAAAACCATAATTTATATTTATTCAAGGAAAACTTTAGTAGATCCAAACTTCACATACTGCAGATGAAACGCGGCACGCTTTATCACAGTGTCTTCTGAGTCAACGTTGACATCTGCAAAGCCCATTTCAATCAAGGCTTGACTTTCAGCCCAAAACACGAGCCACTGTAAATATTGGCACTGGTGAAAGAAAATCTCTGGGAACAAACTTGACCAAAAAAAAGAAGTCAGATAATCAAATACCTTGCACAGGGTCTTGAAGTGCTCGTTGTTACCCGCTCCGACGATCAGAAGCCGGCCGTCAGACGTCTTGAATGCCTAGGAGACGAGATCAAACATGTGCAACCGCATGTTTGTGGAACAACATTCAACCACGAAGTCCAGAATAACACTGCACGCTATGCATTTAATAACCGTTATCACTTAGCCACTGTCCAACAGAATTAATATCGTAGCTTTCAAATCCTCACAATGGCTAACAAACAAGTACACTGGTTCTCAATCTCTTTTGGGCACCTGTCGAGATATCAGCTGATTACCGATATTACAAGTCAATATACCAAGTGTATAATACAAGTCAACTACGGTCACTTTGATTATGAAACAACGTAAAGAGATGCATTCAGCTTTTTTTCAGGAGGGGGGAATCGTCAGGACATTTTTAAGAGAATCTCTTAACCATCCATCAAAGGTTTAAAAGATTTTACAGAACTGAGGTAAGTAGAGAGTACTGAAGTGAATACGTCACATACACAGTTATGCGCGGAAAAGGCATTAGCGCAAGAACCTAGCATGTGAACCAACGATCGCGTGTACTCCATTCGTCTGCACTGCAATTACTGGTACAAATGACATCACACTCCGATATTCCATAGCCCAGCTTCAATGACAAATTGGAATATTATGCACCAGGCTGATACCTGATAGGGAACGATGCTACCGTGGCCGGTACCCCATCGTTTGGCCTCCATGCCTGCCATCAGGTAATTGGCTCCAATGTGAGACATTATGGCCACCTGTGGACAGAAAACAGAAGAAACAGACAGAGGAAATTTTAAACCCCCAAAAAATAAGTGAAGAGCCATAAATGTCGACACCGTATCCATCTACACATGAAAACACTTCAGCTATGAACAACAAACACTTAGGGAATGATTTAGCTATTTGTACAAAAATTATTAATAAAAAAAATCTCATTCACTGTAATAAACTATATCTTCCAACTGGGCATAGTAAAATCAAGTGGACAAACAAAGGGTGTTAATAGTCCGATAAGGGAGCCTGGGCAAACAGGAATTTTCACATTCCTTGACAAAGACACGTCTTTCTATAAGAGACAGTAAAACTTTGTACCTGCGTTGACAGCAGGTTGCAGTCAATCTTCTGGCCCAGCCCCGTCCTCTCGCGGTGTAAGAGAGCAGCCAAGATGGCACCGTAAGCAAAGAGGCCTGTCGACAGATCGGTCATAGCCACGCCCACCCTGACTGGCTCGCCATCCTGTGCGCAAAAAATGACGAGCAAATCACAGCCACGCCCATCCTCCCTGGGTCTCATTGTGCGGGTGTAAAGCGGCTTTATCTTCTAAACTTACATCCTTGCATATTTACATGGTTATCAGTGAGTGCTATGCCTATATTTTGGCCATGTTGGCAACAGACTTCCAGTTGCTTTGGCTATGTCAATGAGCCACTTTGGAATTTTACAAAGGTCAGGCCAATCAAGAACACAGCACATGTGCCAGTCGGCATATGGCCGTGGTGATAGGGCAGACCTCATGAGCATTGTCCCTGTTCCCAAATGGCCTTGGATACTAAACTGGCTCCCTGTCAGTGAGGACACAAGATTTCTCCTGGTATGCAAATATGGCCTATAGGCCTTGAAAACAGCCCCCTCGGTGATGTGTGTCTGCTCCCCTTACCTCGGGACCTGTGATGTGTATAAGACCACCCATTGCTGCTGCGACAACATCATACCCTCCACGGCTTGCATAGGGCCCATCTGGACCATATCCTGAAACATGATTATAAAAATCATAAAAATCATATAAAATTATAAAAATCATATAAAATCATATTATCATATAAAATCATAAAATCATATAAAATCATAAAATCATTCCTCTGTGTTAAAACACCTTGCATTCCAAAATGTTATGTGATTGTGTGTGTGACTGGTTCTCCGTGGGAACTTTAGCCAAACGTTGTGTCTCGCTTTCAAGAAGCACAGAGACTCCTACTCACCAGTGATGGAGCAGTAGATCAAGGACGGGGAAATTTCCTTTAGCGTCTCATAGCCAAGACCGAGCTCATCCAACTTACCAGGGAGGTAGTTCTCCACAAGAACATCGCTATGGGTGACCATCTTGGGGGGAAAAGAAAAACCATTGAAAAAGAACTCTATTTATAGGGCTCCCTTTTCTGAATTCTCCTTGTTGGGAACAAATAAGAATTGAAACTTTGGAATCAAGGGTGCACACATGGGGCGGGGGGAGGGGTGTTGAGGGAACCTTCATTTTCACTGACAAAACAACCACAAAAAAGAAGTCTTGGATTTGTCTTTTTAGGGCTTGAAAATACACCAAACTGCAGGATTTGATGTCCTTTTTGACATTGACCCTTGACCCCCAAAGTCTGGGATCTCCAAGCTATTACATTTCGCACCCCTTTTCATTAATCAAGTTAGTAATTTAAATTTTTTTTACATTTTTTACAAGTATTAGATAAACAAAGTGAACAAAGCTCTTTACCTTTTTGATTATCTGCAACCCTTCAGGGTGTCTGAGATTGACACAAATACTCTGAAACAAGTAAACACAAACATCTCTGATACAAATAGACCCGTGGCCTCGTGGTTAAGGGCATTGAGTTTGCAGTCAGTGGGTAAAGCCACAGGTTGCATTTTCAACTCCAGCCTGGAGTCATGATGTGTGTGCCCTTGGGCAAGGCACTTTGTCACTCATTGCCTCTCTCCACCAAGGACGAAAGCAGAAATGGTTATTGTGGTTGATTTAGCCACTTAGAGATGAAATAGCAGCATCGAGCTGTATACTCCCCAGGGAGCTGGGATGGCATTTGGAATGTTTCACGGGCCCAGTGAGGGGGGGTAATAACAGAAAGCACTTTAGTAATTATAAAAGAACCCCGTTATTATTATGATATATTACTTTTAACCTAGAATTCACAAATTTTCAGATCAAGTCAGTATTTCACGGCTTTTCCACATGGACAATGAATCTAACAGCTAGCTGTAAAATTATTAGTCAGCTACATGCAATATCTCACGATCCTGACCGAGATTTTTTGGTTGATAAAGATCAAGAACCACTACACGGAATTGTTGAGTTCAATTCTCCGAACAACGTCTCAACAATCGAGGGCTTTAACCTTTTTGTTCCTGTTGATGGACAAGAAGTAGCAACTCTGGTCTCCGACAAACGGCGGACCCCAGAGCCTTGTGTCATCTCCAGATCCTACAAAATTTATAATGTGAAAGCAAATTCCAAATCAATTTGTGTCCAATTTTATCCACTCAAACCAATCAAAATTTGTTTATCTGCAATTCACTGAAACTTTAAGTCCCTCAACCAAGAGAAGGGTACAGAAGTGAGTGGTACATTGAAAAATGTTCAGACCAACCTGGCCGTTCAACTTTGATGACATCTGCTCCAAGGTCTCCGAGAATCATTGTACAGAATGGACCCGCTAACACTCTGTAACAAAATAAGTAAACGACACATGAATGACTGTGCTCATAAAAATGCCCTTTAAATTTGCCATTCAAGGCATGCACAGAGGCGGGACATTTACGTTGACATAATCTGTCTTTTAGGACGTTTTTATTTTCTGATGGCCAATAGGCTTACACCATTGTATGGAAAAATTAGTGATGTCCGTATGGAACTCTTCACAAAGTGGAAAATAAAAATTTAGGCACATCAAGATATTCAGATTCAAAAGATTTTTTTCGTGTGGGCCCAGGCCTTAACATAAAAACAATACTCTTTAGCGTTTAAAGTAAAAATCACATTGGCTTAGGCTTATGCCTAAATGTTGCCTTGTCAAAATTCAAAAACACCAGATAACTCACAAAAATCTTCAAAACTTTAAAAATAAAATTATAACATAGGGCCTAGTGAAGGTTTCACTTTCAAACAGCTGCACAAAAGAATTAAAGCCAGGTTGTAAACTGAGCCAACTGTAGCCTACCTTGTAAGATCAAGCACTCTGATTCCTGCAAGCGGTGATGAAGGTGTCACTGTTGGTAACCCCCTTTTTCTGGGGATACTTTTATCGGCAGCATGTTCGGCTAGACGAGCAGACAAGGCAGATACATAATGAAGGACACGAAGGAGACTGAACAAAAGCCTTCTACATAGTTGCGATAAAGACTGGCAAAAATATATCTTGATACTACAGATCTGACTCCACAAACCCAAGCAGCGTCCAGTGCAGTGGCAAAGCTGTTCACTGAACGCAGCCGGAGCAGCATGCGCGCACCATTATGAACGAAAGCGAGGCGAGCATGCATGCAGCGCAGCAGACGACACGATCAAGCTGCGCAACTTCGGGAAAACAAATTAGTGTGATAATTACAATGAATTTGACGTCCAAAACTTACTAGCTGCAGTAGAAATGGTGTTTGCACAAAGTTTCACGCCAAGGATTGGCGGCAGCTCTTGGTTCCTCAAGAGCCCTTTGAAAAACCGCGTCAAGCCACGCAAGTGAGCAGATTGCAACTTTCCGATGGAGGCCGCCATCTTGCTTTGACCTTTTAACTGGCACAAAGTGCAAAATTTGCATAATATTGTACACTTTCTTGACGAACTTTATCCATAACACATAAATTCAGTGCCAAAATAATCCCAGCTCTTAGTATGATACAAAACCCACTTTTCAATGGAATTTAAGTGCGTTTCAAACGGATAATCTATTCAGAGTTGAATACAACCCTTCAACAATGGCTTTAATACACGTGATTGGTCAGCTTGTTCAGGGTTCCAACTCTATCAGCCAATAGCATTGCGAGATAAAAGCAGACAAACCCTTGACCTGGTCTCAGTTAGGGTCCCCTTCAGAACCCTAACTTAAGAGTTCAAACTCAGTGATGGTTTGGGAACCGTTCATTCTAGTAAATTTTATTTGAAAAAATAATACCAGAGTCCTATCCATTCAAATTAAAATGTTCAAAATTTTCCAAGCAATTATTTGAAATCAAGCTAAAAGGCAAAAGCTTTATTCTTTCTCAATTATGTTTGAAAAAGTACACTTTGGAACATTTAAAGGTTTTTAAAAACACTTTTATGAGAAAACATACTATATAAATACAATACACTTTTAAAGTCTTCTACCAAGTACATGGGGTGAATGAACCTGAATGAATACATGACAGTTTTGCACGAATAATTGTTGAACTACGATAAAATTAGAGTGAGGAAAACAATTCTTCCATCTGGAATTGCCTAAATACATGTGTCAAGTACTTAAAGATCCTTTGATGAGGCTTAGAACATTGTCAGTCGGGACTTGAAAGCATCTCAGGATAGCAAGCCTGTGACTCCATGTGAACCATTCTATCTGCCCCTTACATTCACTATTGAGGGCGGTGTTTTGCCATCACTTAAGCTCGGTGGAGTACAACTCCACTGAAAACATACATATCAGTTCCAGGTACTGACAGTCAATTCTGTTCAAATAAACCATTTGCAAGACAATATCGTACCCGGTAAACCAATTATTGTAATTCATAGATGAAAAAATAGTACCTTTCAACATTCCTCAGTGGACATTACAGCATGCATTAATTTGATAATCCTCCGATGTTGAAAAAAACCCTCTGGCATGCTAGAACACTTTTTCAAATGTTCTTTAGAAGAACAGTTTTTTTGCTTTGTTGGTCTCTCACTGAAGTACTACGAAAATTATTAAAAAATATCAACAATATGTTTTTCTGTAGCCGTTTTATAAATATCTCTCGGAAGACTGACATCAGACGTGATCTTGGATCACCAGGTTCAGCAAATTATGGCAGCACCAGTTTCTCTTTTGCAGGATTTGGGAAAGCTCTTTTGAGATCGGCGATCAGCACCTCTCAAACACTTTGTACAAGTCTGGCAGGTTAGCGATTTGGAGGATGCTGGCATTCTGGGCAAAGCTCTTGGGAGGCAACAGTACTGCCCTGAAGGCAGGATAGATCACGTGCTCGATCGTCCACTTCCACTTGTAGGACGGCATAGATGCTTGGCTCGTTGAGGCGCTAGATTCCTGTGTGGAGAAAAAAGTGGAGGAATAACGCTGTCATCAAACCAAGACCACTGAAATGCTGCCATCATGTTGTATCAACAGAACAGTCCAGCAAATTGTTTTCATGTACAAGCGTCTCACAGATTTTCTCTAAATATTAGACTCAACCTTCTATAAGTGGTTTATAAGTTTTTGCGACAGCTTCTTTATTGAGCATTTTAAGCTAGCAAAGATATGCTTTTAAATCGACTCTCCCATACAAAGCAGCAATCACGGCAATTTTCTCAAAATGTACGCATTTCTCATAAATCAGTCCCTGTGTATTTTCAAGAAAAGGAAGTTCAACCTTCAGACATTTCCTAGGTTTTGAGAGTTTTCTGACCTTTTCTTCTTTGTCTTTCGAGTCTTTCTCCTCCAGATGAATGCTTTTGTGGATGCCGTAGAAGAGGCCACACTCTCTTGCAAAGGTCTGGAAACATTCTGTCTCAGTGTCCCACTCAACCTGTCCAATAAATAAGAGACAATACGGCCGTTTCACAATAGTGCGCCACCAAGAGTTTGCAACACGTTGGCCAATCACAATGCACGGAATTTGTCGACCCATTGCGCATTTGGAAATGGTCGACAACTTTTGTGCGTTCTGATTGGCCAATGCATTGCAAACTCTTGATGGCGCACTATTGTGAATCGCTCGTATTAAATCTTTCATATCAGATAAAACAGCAAATGCTCTGAGCATTTCCAACACTGAGTACCACAGACAGAAAAAGGTTTTGAGATTCGTCCGAGCAGAGAAGGGTACTGAGATTATCTTGACCTAGACTCGTTTCGGTACTTCCTCTTGCAACATGCTGAAAAGAAGCCCCCTTCTCCACAAGGTTTAACAGGCTGAGCAATATCACCCGAATAACCGACCTGACCACTAACTGACCAAAAAGGAAACATATATTACCAGCCAAAACAGAGCGTTTATGATTGAAGGTTTGCAAATCTCACCTCTGTGGCCAATCGGAGTACAAACATCGGCAGCTTTTCTAGAGCTGGGATGTAGTCATCTAGTAACAAGGGTATCGTGCATAGGTTACCTTCCTGTCAAGCAAAGGTCAAGATTAAGAGTTAAAAGTTCGGAGCCTCTTGTGTTAAAGTCACGTACATTTCGATATCATAAACTGGGTCTACAACTAATGAATATATGAACAAAATGGCTAATACTTGGATATTTCTAAACTAACTTGTCTTCTGACAAAAGAATTTACTCAAAAAGTATCTGTTTAGTTTGAGAATAGTTTTTGGAAGAGGAAAGATTAAACTTCAATGGTTAGTATTTTTGACTTGTGATCGAAGGGTCTGAGGTTTGAATCCCCCTTCTGGTCATATGTCTAGCCAAGTCACTACCATTTGTCTCTTTCTAAACCTGAACCATCCTCAAAACTGTTTCAGGACATTAACCCTAACACTCCTCAATCCTTCACCTGTTGGAGGACTGAGGAGTGTTAGGGTTAATATTGTAATTTCCTGTGAAAAAAAAAATCACGAGATTTGCATCCCACATGAGCGAGTGAAAGCATTTCCAGCTGTTTTACGCCAAGAAACACTTTGGGCATGGGCACATGATGAGCCACACCTGACCGAGTCAGACATCACTTTCTCTTCTTTTTTTTTACCTTGTCAATCTGCAGGGAGAAGTAATCAGCCAGCATCTCGGCCTTGGACTGCAGCAGTTGCAGCACGTACTGGGCCAGCTGCTCCTTGGGGCCGTCCTCCTCGGTCCAGCCGCTCTCCTCCGAGTCGAGGGCCAGCATCGCCAGGTCGTAGATGGAAGCCGGGGTCTGCAGAGAAACCCCCCATTCAAAACAAATGAAAATTAAAACCAATTCACAAAAAAGAAGGCCGAGTTGGGTCCATCTACGACTATCTTTTAGTCTTTATGAAAAATATCTCCGTGGTTAAGAGGGGAACTTGTTCTGAGCACTCCGTGAACATGCGAGAGAGGGCGCTTTTTAACATGCTGAGGTGTTCCTTTGAGCTGACATGCAGGTTACAGCACCAGTGCCAGTGCATACAAGTCACTTTGATCGGGCTATGCTCAAATGCAAAGGATCTTGGCAAGTGGTAAACGGTGTTCAAGTGTTGGCCAAAATAAACCTCTCTCTTAAATTGGCGGGGGAATGTACTTGCATAGATGCCATGAATATTAAACCAGTCATAAACCAAGAACAAAACAGTAGCTTCTTACTTGAATGTGGAATTGAAGGCATGGTGGTTGTAACTTTTACAGCTTTACGCGGTTAAAGGAAGCAACGGCGCACAGAGAAACCAAGGCCCGCTAAAGCAAATTATCCAAGAACCTTCCCCAAGTTGACTCACCGACAGCCTCATGATGCCAAAATTGCCGAAGTCAAAGATGACGAGTTGGTAGAACAGTTCCCTGCTTAGCTTGACGGTGTTGAGGAGGAAGAGCTTCGTCTGGTGCTGAACGAGCGCGTGTTCGGCATTGATCAGGCCGATGAAGGTGTGGTGATGAAATACCTCTCTCAAGCCTGAAAGGAGATGAGGAGATTTTAAGAGCAAAAGCCTTCGGTTTACTTTTCAGTGTTGCATTCGAGTCCATCATGAATCCTCATATAATACAAGTCCAGTAACAAGTCCAGTCACAAGTCCTTTCACAAGTCCAGTCACAAGGTCCCTTCACAAGTCCAGTCACATGTCTCTTCACAAGTCCAGTCACAAATCTCTTCACAAGTCGTCACAAGTCCTTTCACAAGTCCAGTCACAAGTCCCTTCACAACGCCAGTCACAAGTCCCTTCAAAAGTCCAGTCACAAATCCCTTCACAAGTCTAGTCATAAGTCCCTTCACAAGGCCTTACAAGGGACTTATGATGGACTTACAGGGACTTATGATGGTTTTACAGGGACTTGCAAGGACTTGTGATGTTTTATAGGGACTTATGATGGCTTTACAGGGACTTGCAAGGACTTGTGGTGGTTTTACAGGGACTTGTGATGGTTTTACAGGGACTTGCAAGGACTTGTGATGGTTTTACAGGGACTTGTGATGGACTCGAATACAACACTGGTACCTTAATATGATGTTTTCCTTGTAACCTTTCTTTAATACTAGTTACTCACAATGAACCACAAACAGCCCCCCCCATTAAAAAAAAGGGCCTCCCCAACTTCCTCTGCCAGTGCTGAGGTCCATTTTCAAAAATGTATAAAGAGTCAACATCCGCACATCAAAATGTATTCTGTTTTTATATGAAGTTGAATTTTGTGCTGCTGGATAACAGTACAATCAACAATTTTTTTAAGTGACATTCAGTGCTTGCTTGGTACTGAAAGTAGGCAACATTCAGTCTGAATAATGGTCTTATCAAGTTGAACAATTAACAGCGAAACAATCTTTGAAGAGTTCCTTTTGAACTAATATATCGCACCAAAAGCCAAACTTGCTTTGGGTGCCTTGTAAAAAACCCTTCTTGGCTGGACTTAGTTTCAAGTACTGAATGCTACCTTGATGTGTGTTGTCTTCAATCTTCTGTTGAATTGACAACACGCTGGTGAGGCGAACTTCTCGGTAGTGGTGGCCCTGACCCCCACGGCGACCTTTCCGTGAACTTTGACCTGAGGTAGTTGAATGTCTGGCTTCTTTGGGACCGTGGTCTGTGGGAGGTCCCCTGCTTTAGTTAAAACAACAAAACATGCCAAATTACGAAACAAAAAGTGGACTTCCAGAAAGCAGAATTTTGATTAAACTAGAAATTTGCACAATTGGACAAAGTATAAATATGACAGTACCTTGAGGTAGATGTTGAGGGTTTGTCTGCATCGTCGATTTCCATTGGTTCATCCGTTTGGTTCTTTGCACTCGTGCTTGGTTCTGTATTCTCACTACCAGTAAGTGGCTTGTCTGTCTCCATTTTCTCTGTAAACGTAGAAATATGAAATCCAAACTGAGATGTCTGGTATGCTTTTCCTATTACAGCCTTTCACCGTTACAAAATTAATTAAAGGCCACATATCCCCACCTGCTGACTGCGCCTTCATCCGCGGTAGGAACGCTTCCAGTTTCTGGGCCCTGTCGTCCGTTCGGACCATCTGGTGAGCATAGACCGTTGCAGAGGCTGTGCCAGCGCAGGATGCCTCCGAGGACTTCTGAGTGACTTCGGTGACGGGGATGGGCGCGCTAGGCAAGAGTGCCTGAAGATGCAAGGACCAGGGACGGTAACTCATGAGGATAACTATGACCTGGTAACAAGAAGACAGAACGGTGTAGATTCCGTTTCATCTTGTTACGGGACCAATTCAGACCTTCTGCCGAACTCAAGATGAAGTTTTCACATTTCCCAGTGCTCATCCTTTCCCTTTTTATATTACAATTGGCAAGGAAGCACTCCACTTAATGTGGGGGCCACAAGCTGTTGGTTGTCCCAGAAGGTGCATGGTAAGTGCACTCCCTAAGAGATGTACCATACCAAATCTTTGTAAACAAGCTGGTGAGTTCCGGAAATGTCCTTATCAAGACGGGTCAGAGGGTTGTGCAACTAATTCTAATAATTAATTAATTAAGGAGAGTTTCAGAGTCATAAATTTTTAGCACAGTGCCACCTGCGTGAAGTAAGTCCTTGAGAAGTTGCAGCCGAGGAGTTTCTGCTCGATGCTTTGCTGGATGTCCTCGATGATGGCCTCCTCATGAAGGAAGTGAACTTCTTGCTTGGTGGGGTGAACGTTCACGTCAACGTTGTTGGGGGAAATCTCCAGGCTGCGCACACAAAATAGTTTCAACAAACTTTTTGACTCCTTGTGAAAGCGCAGCCTTGGCCATAAAAATGTGAAAGATCACTGTCGATGTTGACAATGTGCAATAAAGGTGACTAGAAAGGCAAATATTTTGTCAATTATTTCATTATTATTAATATGCATTGCTGGTAATGACACCAAAGATTCCTCAGAAATGCCATAGGCACTGCAGCTTTAAATCTGAGGAGACCTGTAGAGAGGAGACAATGAGAAGCAGTTACAGTTTTAGAGGTGGGAGGAAAACCCCAGAGGAATATTCTGGGTAAAACCCACAGAATCAAGTTGGGACAGAAAACCCAATCCAAAATTAATGGTCTTGTAGAAATGACTCAATTAATTCATTTCAAAGTCTATAAAATAACGCTTGTCAAAAAGTTGACACGATTCACTGTCTCACCTGAGGTACAGGAACGGATGGGTGCCCTTTGGCAGGTAGGTAGCGTAAACACTCTCGATGGCCTTGCGTAAACTCGAAGATTCGACCAGTCGATCTGTGGGCAAAGCGACAAAAATGTATCCAGCTTTGAATAAAAAACACTTCAGACTTTTCCTGGACAGTTTCATGGACATTATGACTTAAGGTCCGAGCTAAAAAAATGCCGAAGGTGGAACTATCAGCCTCAATGTCTGGCGAAGTAAAAACACTAACTCACGGTTGATGAAGAGGAGAAAGATGCATTTCTTGACGGAGTAGTTGGCGTTGGAGATGAAGCCTCGGAGCTTGAATGCAAGCTTGCTGTTTTCCGTCTCCATTTCTAAGACTTCTCTGAGCAGTCAACAAAAACAAAGGCAATACATTTTGATCACGTCTGAAGCGTGTCGGAGAAAAAAAATGCCAGATGGCTCGAGTGTAAGCATCAAGGTGGTCCTTTGATTTGGAAAAAGTAAAATCAAATTATCCTGCTGAATAAACTGTAAACACTCAATTCTAGAAAAATATTTTCAGAAGAAAAAGCACTCTCAAAACTCTAGTGAAACGACTTCAAAGAAACTGGAATTCATTTTGCAATCTATTTTGGGTTTCCTTCGGAAATATAGATGTAAGGTGTCAATACTTCAACTTAAAATCTTACCTTCTTTTTTCACGCGACTTTGGGCAATGGGGAATCCACAGTGGCGAATTGTAAATTAACGAAACAAAAGCACAGTGGACGGGAAAAAATTTGGTACCTTGCAACTGCCGGCCCGTAGATGATCCTGATGTTGTCCAGGGTCGATGCACTCTGCAACGTCTTGACGTCTGCCGAACTCTCCCCTTGCTATTACAGAGAACAAATGCAACAAAATATGCTGCGTTTATTTCAACGTTCCCTGGGTTATCTGCATATGCCAGATTAAAACCTTGTGATTTTCTTTGCAGAGGACGACCCCTTTCCTCCTTGATCATAATTGCGATGCAAGATGTGCCCAATTACTCATCGGCTGACAACCTCGGCTCTTTTGTTGCAGTAAACATATTGAAGCAACATGTTGCTGCAGTATCTTCCCACGACACAACGAAATTACAAATCTTCTTCACCCCTTCACGGCGGGATCATTTTGACCGCGACTGCTGGGCTGTGGCATGCCCTGAATGGAGGGCTTTGTCCAGCAGCAGGCCCACATTGAACCGGCAGCTGCATGGTGAATAGACTGTATGTGTGGTATGCACTAATCCTCACACAACGGTGCGGTGGTAGCAGTCCTCCGTCGCGAAGGGGTAGAATGCAACATCAGTGTTTAAACTCAGCTACCCGTTGTAAAAGTTAGAAGATGCTACAGGACTAATCACCTTCTTCAACGTGAATGCAACGCCGGCGTTGTGGATGGCATACCGGCTGACAACCTCTACGATTTTGTTGTGTTCTTCACTTGCATTCCGTAACACTCTCCTTCTTGTGACCATGTTGTAAAATAGATCTTCCACCTGCCCAAAAAAAACAAACAAACCAAAAAGGGACCCAGCACATGTAAAACTCTAGAAAGTCTATTTCAAAATCAGGAGGAATTTATCAGTTGAACATTAAAGCGACCTCCTATCGTGTCAATTTCTGTTCTGCAACAATTTGAAAAACATTGGTCTGATTATCGAATGAAGAAAATTTACTCTACTTACAGCAATCTGTGTTCCCTTGTTCCCTGCGCACGGCTTGACAGGTGCTTTGAGCTTGCCGTCGGCATAGCTACCTCTGTCAAAATAAACATCTGATGTTACCAACCTTGACAAGAAATTAACATAACCTGACTGCCATTGTTGCAACACACTCCAAAGAAAATTTTAAATTTTTCTGATGGACCAGTTGTGAAACTTGTTTTAACACTGGCATTCACAGAAGAAACAATTGATATTTTTTATTTAAAGTGGTCATTTTACAAAAGGTAGCATCATATACATGCACAACTTATTGTGTATCGATTGTGGAGGAAGAAACCTGTTCCTTCATTCCTGAAGATGTTCTGAATAAAGAACGAAATATTGAATCAAACATGGCTTTCATTAGTCTTTATGGAGTCTGCATAATATTGAGAAACCTGTTCGTTGGAGATGTAAAGCAGTGATTTACTGCCTTCTATCAGCGCTGGAGCCAGGAGGTATGAACAAACATTTCTTGTCAGAGGAATGTACCCAAGTGATTGGAAATAAATTCTTACTTGTAGGCACATTTTGAATCTTCTGTTTTTGTTGTGATGGTCACGTGGGCAACATGACTGATGCTCGCGAGTGCCTGGACAGCGAACAACAAAAAAAAAATCACGACAGATCTTGCAAACATTAAATGATAGAATACACAATCAGGCAACCAGAGGAAAAGTAAGGCTCATCATAAACTGTGCTCTACAAAGCTACGTACGAGTCACTGCAGAGCTTACCTCACCACGAAAGCCGTAGGTGGCGATGTTGCTGAGATCCTCAAACTGCCGCAACTTACTCGTTGTGAAGCGTTCGCACACTATTTCCATGTCTTCCTTCTACAGTTTAACGAAGGGAGCCAAAAAACTCCAGTTGTGAACCACGATGAGTCCAGTGCACAAACAAGCACGGGCAGCAATAATCACTTTCCAAATCCAAGCTTGAACTCTGTTCCCAACTCAATCTAGAGCTCAGAAAGAATACTGCTTTCCACCTCAATTTCCAAATTTCGTAAGCACCGACAAGTTTAAGAAGGGGGGCCAGAAATGGTACTCTTGCCATCCCCTCGGTCCCAGGGTAAAACTACTCCAAAATAAAATGACTTTGGAAGCTTATTGTTTGATGCTCTGTTGTTATCGTCATTTTTAGTCTTACAGCGTACCCGTATTCCAGTTCCATTGTCTTGGATCTGCATGAGCTTGAGACCGCCTGACTTCACCGTAATCTGTATGCTGGTGGCTTGTGCATCCAAGCTAGACGTAAAACACACTTACAGTTGGACATCCCACAAAAATAATAGTAATGAACAGTTCTTATCAAGTGTACAACACAATAAAATCTCTATGCGCTGAAAGTCATCCAATCCAAGTTTCTTGTCACTGTACAGGAGACTGATTCGTAACCAACTTGGACCTATACCGTGCTAGATTTGGACCAACTTAACCCACAGTGACTTGGAATCCGACCAAACTGGAAACCCAGTTCAACCTACACCTTGACCTAGCGGGCATCAGTATATGGGGAGAAGTCTGTACTGGACAGTCACATTATCGAGGGTCATTGACACCAACCAGTTTACTCTACTTTTTCAAACCTGTTCCCCATTCCGTTGGCCCTTAACTGCCTTTTAACTCCCTTAAAATTAAGAGGGGCCCCTTCTTAAAGTTGTTGGTGTCTGTGACACTCGAAAATTGTGATCATCCAGTATGGAGTCCTTCAACAGTACATGTCGGGCCAGAAAGATGGTCATATCTCAAGTAGGCAAAAGTCAAAGTTAAATCTGAATCTATGTTGATTTGAGTTCTCAGTTGAAGTGGGTCCAACTTGAACCCAGGTTCAAAGTCTGACTTGGTCTTAGTTGGTTTGACTCACATGTTCATTTGACTAAAGCAACTTGGGAACGAAAGAACATGGTCTTGATGGAAATTTGCTTAAGCACAGAAAGATTACGCTGAACAGAAACAGGTTACTTTCCAAAAAGCTATGCAAAGCTGCAGACGTGAGACAAGCTCTGTGTCCATTTTTGCTTAGCACAAAAATCTGCCTGGCAGCACTTGTTTTCTTAATCGAGCCCCGGTCTGGGCTGGATTCATCCAGTCCACCTGCTCGCTCGCTTCTCTCACCAGTTTTCGATCATCTCCTTCAGGGCATTGGCCGGCCGCTGGATGACCTCGCCGGCCGCGATTCTGTTCACGACAGCCTGGTCTAGTTTCTGGATGGATCTGGCAGCCATGGCGGTGTCCTGTCAGCTGAAAATAACCAGGAAATGAATATAGCTAGAAATATCCTGTGTTAGGGTAATGGCATAGGGTTAGGGAGATTCGTCATCTCACTTCATGATCCCAATGCTAGAGACTTCTTGCTAGAGTGAAGGCATGTACATACATTCACCTGTGTTAAGATGGGACCTGTACAAGGTAGATTACTAGATATGTTACTGAGGGTCTGTCCAACAATAACTTTGGCACAATCAGCTGATCTGTACGGTTGCCCAATCACTCTCCACGATCGGATGGGTTAATCCTCTACAAAATCTCCAACTTAATTTTCCTTTTTTGAAACAGTCATCTGCTACTCAAAAGGGAATTGGTCGAAGGTGGAATAAATGACAAATCGCGCAGTAGGTTCGACCATGCAATGGTGCAAAGTGAAGGGTCGTACCTAACACATACTGTGAAACCAGGATTGACTTGCTTCAAACCACCCTGAGCCCAGGAAGATCTTTACTACACTGGTTTGCCTCTGCCATGCTTTCACTGCTTAAACATGACTATAACTTTCAATAAACCTCCTATAATATGCAAAGATATATTGACACAGTTGTCCTATCAGTCAAAATAAGTTAAATGACCTGCATGACCTACAGTGAGGCTATACTCAGGACAAATCATGTAAAATGTGGGACATATGCCTGTCATGACCGTTACAGCAAAAGGCATGAAAGGAGGGTTATATGTACAAGGGGAAAAACCCTTGAGAAGAGTGTGATACTTTGACCTGTACCTGGCTATGAGGTTGATTATTCGGGGTGGTGGGGTATTGTACAATTGAGTTTAGGGGGAAATTTGGAAACAGGTAAAAAGGTTGTTAAAATACAATCAAAGCAAGCCCACGGAAAGAGTTCCGTTATTTCATATACGACGCCACTTGACACCCCATGCACAAACCCTAAAGCTGTGAGACTGGTCTGAAAAAATTGTGTTTTCCAAGTAAACAACTTGGCCTCTCCCCTCCAAAACTGAATTTTTTTTAACATGTTTTCGCTTCCTGAAATAGATCACTGTAGGGAATAGGGCTACCCGAAATAGGCCTGTTATGCCCCAACTATAGCATCAGTCCCAACTATAGTTGGGCCCGTCCCAACTGTAGTTGGGCCCGTACAAACTAGAGTGCTACAGTTGGGCCGGCCAACTACAACAGAGA